TTAATATAATAACACTTAAAGTAACATATGAACTAATGTTCATCTCATAACTTAGGAAAGATCATTGAATTGCTTCAAATTCATTAGAAGAAATGACGTCGCCAAGTTTTATTAAATTGAATTTAAATTAAGTCTACTATAAGTAGTATGATTATTTTTATTAAATTTGTGAAATGATTAGTATATTCCAGGAGAATTTAATAATGAATATAAATAGATATATGCAATGAGAACTTGGTTAGAAATTTAATTTGATAACCGATAATCAACATATTATACGAGTCTTCATAAGGTACTTGAAATATACTGAAAAAATTAGAACATTAAGTGATTTGACTATCGCCCTCAAATGCCCTGGTACGACTGAGAGTGAGGAGAGTCAACTATCCCTCTCCAAATACTCTCATACGTATACGCGTATACAGCTACTGCATAAGAAGTCCTTATCATTGCTTTCTCGAGGCATTACTGTTGTTTACGAAATTGAGAGGACGAAAAGCGAATGTTTGGTGCTTTAACGAAGTTGGTGAATATGGAAGATCCACCTAAGGGAGTTGGAAACCCATCATTCCAAACCAATGGTGCACATGTACTCCAGGATCCTGAGGGAACCAATGGAGTATGAACCAATTACCAATTGCAGTCCTAAACATCAATGAGAAAATTTAAACAACCAATACAACAATGAATTCAACTTCACATCACTAATATAAGCTAGTGGCTATCTAGACTCAGTAGGTAAGTGGATAACATGATGACGTTTGAAGCGAACGGTGCCGGGTTCGAGTTCCAGAGTGAACATTAACTCGGAATTGCAGGTACGTACAGCTGACAAGTCTCAAATAGAACGAAACACACATCCTAGATTCCACTGTTAGCCACTATACATCTTTGCTTAGAATGTTTGTAACCTAAGGAAATCTCAAGACCATCCGCATATATATATATATCAACAAGAGACTGATCAATTACAACGTTGAAAAGATACAAATAAAACAACATCAATTGAATTCATATTCACCGATAATGAGACTTACCAATTGAATTGTGAACACACCAACGTTTTTTCAGTATTATTTTAAAGCATAACCATTTTTGTAAATAACATAATGTACATAATGTACAAAGAAATATTATACCAGTTATACATAAATAACACCATGCCCATAATGGTAAATAAGAATAAGCAACGATTTCTTCTTCAGTGAACATTGAATAAGATACGTTTTAAACAAAAAGTTGGATGATTATGTAAGAAATAAAATTGATTATAATCTTATGATAATTAGAATACGAATAAGACATTGTCATTACACCGTTATATGCAATCATTAACTCTATCCTATACACTACTGATTTCAATCAAAGTACACATGGATCGATAATTCAAATCATTCCATGTTATGTATATAGTAGTACTCATGGACAGGGGTGAAGGGGAGTGGGGTGGGGGTAAGTAAATGAGTACTTCACCCCCCCTCCCCAAAGACGAACATGTATATTTCATATAGTTTGTAAAAGGATATCGTTGTAGAATTTGACTTTGATTTTGATTGGTTATTAATACGTGTTGGAGAAGCCTGTTGATTGTTCCCTGTTTACATATATGAAATTCACTTATGAGAAAGATATATAGTACATTATAGTAGAAAACCATAAGGTGGTTATTTTCTAATCTAACACTTATCTACAATCCGTCATTTACTAATCAATTCTTATCTTAACACTTATTGGCTATTAATTACTAACCAATATATATTACTGTGTAATTACTTACGCCTGTTACCCTTTATCGAGGAGCATATGTCGCTCATCAGTATTCTCTATTCAACTCTGTCCTGGACAATCCTTCCCAGTTGGCTGATCTAATTCTTAACAATCACAGATTTGACTATGAAACAGAAGGAAATGAATTCGAACATGAGTAAGAGCATTAAGATTGAAAATAGACATTACTAATGATGAGAAATAAAAAAATAGATTCATGATTGTCTGCCAATCAATATTAACTAGTGATTACCAAAATAGGAGTACCAATGTATTAAACAACTTAGTACAGTTGCGGTGTGTGCTACTTATATTGACATAAGTAGTAGATGATGTTAGTCGTGAACAGAATGTCTGGCAGCAGAGAGATAAGAGGATCGAACAGTAACGAATGGAAACAGGATGTAATTTGTATGAAAATGCAAGAACAATGAAGTCTGAGTCATTATGAGACAACTGATGGACATTTTGCAGATTACGTATTTACTATTTGATTGTTAAGTTTTACTAACGAGTCCTGTAATTTTGTGTCAAATACATTCGATTTTCCCCAGCTGTGTTCTGTTCACTACACAGTGATCGTACTACAATTTGTAAGTAAGACGTTCTAGATACTGTTGAGTTTCATTCAAATCATAGGCCGATCTAAGTTAAACTACTATTAAAAATTCGGTAGTATTGGGCATCCGTTTCATCCAAATATGTGTATCCAGATCTTCAATGGCGATCTAACTTGTATTTCACAGTTTAAATGATGAACTGACTTTAGTTAGATAACCACTGAGAATAGAAGGCTCTGGAAATCTGTCTCTTCCTAAATAGCGTGCATGCAAAACCGAACCTCCGTGAGTCCTGGTTCCCATCATTGTTATATTTGTAAACCCGCATTAGTGAAAAGTTTCATATTACGACAAAAAAGTTGTCTAGCGCTTCATGGCTTCGAATGGTTGACTAAGGCCACGTCTTGATGTAAAACTTTCAAACAAATAAGGACAGTCAATATTACCCAATGATTTCTTAAATTTTAACTCCATGATCGAATTTACCCACGTCTTCCATGAAACTCCTGGTATATATATGAGCTACAATGCCGTGTTCATAGAAGACATACATATATATATTCAACTTTACTTACTTACGCCTGTTACTCCCAATGGAGCATAGGCCACCGACCAGCATTCCCCAACCCACTCTGTCCTGGGCCTTCTTTTCTAGTTTCATCCAATTCTCGTTCATTTCTCTCATGTCTATCTCCATTTCTCGGCGTAATGTGTTGTTTGGTCTTCCTCTTCTCCTTTGGCCTTCAGGATTCCATGTGAGGGCTTGTCTTGTGACGCAGTTGGGTGCTTTCCTCAATGTGTGTCCTATCCACTTCTAGCGCTTCTTCCTGATTTCTTCCTCCACTCCGATCTGGTTTGTTCTCTCCCACAGTAGGTTGTTGCTAATAGTGTCCGGCCAATAGATCCGAAGTATTTTGCGTAGACAACTGTTAATAAACACCTGTATTTTCTGGATGATGGCTTTCGTAGTTCTCCAGGTTTCTGCCCCATACAGTAGAATTGAAATGAAACTCCAAGTAACAATTACACTCTTATATGCAGCACTAACACAGTAAATGAATAGGACATTGCACTTTCATTAAGCATTGAACAGAAATGGTCATCTTTACACCTACATAAGTTTCTTGCACTATGCATAATGTCAGTTTGTGAGTTTAAAAAAACCCTAATTTCGTATCTTGACTATTAATCCTTAACACTAGTTCATAATCTAATTTTAAACCAAGTGGTTAGTAATCCGCAAGGCAAATTTGGGAACCATCTCTAAAATTTAACTCAATCAATCTATACTAAGCTGTAGAATTAAAGAATTTGTATGACTACGATAATACTTATAATTGAGAGTACAATTTAAGACTAGAATCTCATGGTTCATTTCAATATAGGTGAACATAAATTGTATTTCACTGAAAACTACAATTTGTGTGACGATCAAGTATTTACATGGTGTGTTAGATGTAAAGTATATCCAAGGTAGAGAAGCTGGAGTTCGAAAGTTGTATTTAAAAAATAAGTTGTTATCACTGATTCTGTAAACATATTTGTGAACCTTAGTATTACTAGTATGATGTCGTCAACAAATATATAAGATATTCTTTTGAAGTAACGTTGAAAGAACACAAAATCGTCGAACGTTTTTAGCTAAAAACGATCTAGTTTAATAAACCCAGAAGCCGATCCTTTAAACCTATCACGATAGTAACAAACGTGGCACAGGATTACACAGCCTGATTTCGCTTTTATTGTAGATAAATAGATCTTATTTGTCATTTACGAACAACAGATACAAAACGGATCAAATACATGAAATTTGAGAATATTTCTTACAATTCACCATAGTTTCGAAAGTAAGGTAGTAATTCACCGAAGACTTGAAATACGAATCCTACTATGAGAATAAATGAGAACAGTTTCATATAAACATAAATGCTATTTAATGATCTTAAGGGATTGTGTTTGCCAAAAGACCTGAACCGTGCTAAGTAACCGACCATGTAAATTGTAGCATGAGTGCGCGCACTTCTAAGGAATACCTAATATAGACTAGCTGTCCAGTATTGCATAGCTACAACGCAGGACCAGGCACATTTATACATCCATCTAAGTTGTCACACCTCATTAGCACAACAAGATGAACACCGGATCCATAAAAGTAGTTAATTCAATGGTGGTAATATATAAAAGAAAGATTGTAATAAGGATATAGTACAGAAAGAAAGAATTAGTTCGTAGAAAGAAAGATATGAAGCGATTTTAATCTCACAATTTAAGGGAAGACAAAGAGTGTATACACCTACGCCATTCTGACCCATGTCACCAAGAGTCTCCAACCATTGATTACGATAGTCACGAGGACACGAATCAAGTAGTCTGCATCTACTAACATGGTTAAGACTAGAAGTTAGTGACTTCAAGCACTGATGTCACGTCTTGGTTTGGCCACACCAAACTTTTTTCCAACCCTAAACCCAACACTAGTCAGCATTGCGCGTTGTGGTAATCGGTGTTCAGGCATATGCAACACGTGACTCGACCATCTCATTCAACGTAGATTTACAACCTTATCAACTGATTTACCATCATTCCCTAATACACTGCATAGTTCTCTCTAGCTAATATTATTTTGCATTAAAAATTAGCCCCACCCTCCACCCATCAAGAACTTATCTAACATGCAGCAAACAAAATAAATATTTTAGTAAATCATCTCAACATAATAACACATTCCAAATATCGTAATTTTATGTACAAAGTCAAATTGTCCATAGATCAGTAGATCAAAGGGTATAATAATAATAATGAATCGGATCATTCAACATTCTTTTCATCTGTATATTGTGTTGGTAAACCAACACGACCATCTTTTATTTGTGCTATAGGTGTTTGACCAATTTTCGGATCTAAACCATACCATGTTCGATTAACTCGATTAGCGTATAAATTCCATTGATTATAGTCAATTAATTCACCTGATGATTGAACAAGTAAAGATTGAGAATTGCCTTCAGTATGAAGTTTATTTTCTGGAATAAAACGACTATGTCCATCAATTAATGAAACCATGGCGAATGATTCAGTTATTTGTGGAATAACATTCTCCACAGGTATATAAGCTTGACCACCTAAAGAAAATTAAAAATTATTTCTAACATTTTCATATACATTGAAAGATGAAAGAAAAAGTATGCAC